AGATAGAAAATACTAACACACCCTCCTGCTAGGCTACCAAAAGGGTTGGAAGAGCAGGTTACCGTGAGAATGCTGAAATAATCCACAGTTCTTTAGTATATAATACCAGGAAAAGAGATTTTAAAAAAATTTTGAAAACTTTTGTCTTTTTATCATAATCACTCTCCTTTATCATTTTTGCTTATACTTTCAAACACATTTTACATATTTGTAATGGATATTTATGTTTGCAAGATAAAATACATCAAATTTCCTCTTAATTACTTTAAAAAATTTAGCTATAGTATTACATGTGAATATTTATATGCATATGGTGAGGTTAGATATGTGTGTATACACATATAGACTCACACAAATCCATATGCATTCCGTATGAAATAATAACTCTATTTGTGTTTCACAATACTAGAGTAGGCTTTTATTTATACTAGGAACTCTGACCACATTGCTATTACGTCATTTAATGATTTGCAAAACAGAGCCCAGAAATCATGTAACTGCACTTCTTCATTTCCTCTTCCAGCATTTCTAAGCTTTAGCCTGAAATTTAAGTTTAGCATTAGTGCTTCAAAATGCAACATATGATGGTCCCACTTGCTTGCATATGCTTGCAGTTTATGACTTTTGACACTGCTATTGAACACAGTGTGGCTGTGTTGTAGATCATATTAGCTTGTCAATCAACAATTAAGTTACTTCATTCATAAAATGAGCTCATGATAGAATGCCCAGATGTTGTCAGCATCTGAAATAGTGTAAGTATGCAGTGGAGGAAATCTCATTCTTTAAAATCTTTCTGAATGTAAAATAAAATAACTCCATAGACTCTACTTGAAATAATCAAAATGTCACAATGTTTATTATTTTCTTTGTTAATGATATATAAATATCCTACATACCCTCACTGGAAAATGATACTCTGATAAATGAATGCTATGCAACAGTTGTTTCATTTGTATTTTTGAATGAACAACTGAAACAAAGTATAAAAATTTGTGTAATTATTTTACCTATTTCTAGTTTTCCTCTGTAGTCTGACTAGCATTGGAAAGAAAAAGTGATCATTTGCTGAGAATCTGCTCATAACCATAATTTCAAGTGATGTAGACATCTTAGAATAAATGGTCCTCAGGACTCTATAACTGACACAGAGTTATCAAATGAGATATCATCTAGACTAGGCTACAAATTCAGAGATGAAGTGTTCTAAGGCAGATGAGTGATCTACCTAAGGCCACAGCTCTAGGAAAGACTGGGCAGAAGAAAGACAGAGCCTTTCTCAATGCCAGTGTTCTTTTCTTTTTACTACACCACCATCCTACTTTAGGTCCCCAAAGCCAAGGTTGGCTGCACCCTTTACCTAGTTCTATGAATTTATCACCAGCTACCTAATTCGTTAATCTATGGGTTTTGTTTCTGGTCACCCTCTTTCAAAAAAATAAAAATAAAATAAATAGATAGATAAATAAACAAACAATAAATAAACAAACCTTTATTTATACATTGTTGTCAACATATGGAATAACGATAACAATAATTTTGAGAGTTCAAGGGTGACAAATGCTTAAGGTAAAATGTTTTATTTGATAGAGTAAAACATCTGATCTCAGAGGGTGAGTCACAACCACACCTATGGGTGTTACTTAGATATTGCAATATTAATCTTCAAAGGCTGCACCATAAAGCAAAAATAATCTACTCACATGGCTCAGAGAGGAACCGCACCAGTTATTAAGATGTGTTAAGAACTGCCTGCTTACCCATAGGATCTGGTGACTCCTCATACAGTTACTCTAACATTCTAGATTGGAACCAGCTATCTCATAGGCAAACGATTTTTATCATTTTTCTTCCTAGTACTTACTTTTGGAACCATGTTGTGACAGATTCCTTATTATAGAATATGCTGTGTTATAGTGAGGTTATAGTGTTCATAATTCAGAGATGTACAATATATCTTTTAATGTTTTGTGGATATAGTCAATAAAACTGTGATGCTTAGGCAATATAAAAAAAATATTTTAATCCAAATATTCTATGAAAACATTTTGAAGGTTACTTCTGTACTAGGGTGACCTAAAACAAAATATAATAAAATAAATACAAATATTCACACCTGATTCATAAACAACATGTTGTTTCTAAAAGATTCTCCATTTTCAGTTGAATAAAATAAAAGCCTGCCTACCCAGGGGCTTTGCTTCATCAATTAAATGTTCTTTCTTTTGTATCTTCAATGTTTCACTCTCTACTGGTTCTTTCCTTTAAGTATAAACACTTTTAAGTGTAACCCTATACTACTCTCCCCAGCTAATGCCCCATCTCTCTTTGTCCTTCCCTTCCTAGCCAAGCTTCTTGAAAGAGTATTTTACATGTACTAACTCCACTTATTCATGTCCCAGTCACTTTTCAACCTACTACAAAGTGGATGCTTCCCTACCACTCTGCAGGTCTCCCCAGGATCACCAATGACTTCCTACTTGTTAAAATCATTAGGCCCATTTTTAAAAAGAACTTTTAATTCTATGATATTTTCAGATGTATAGAAAAGTTGCAATGATAGCCCATATCCAGTATGTCACAATTAATGAATCAATTGTTCAATATTATACATTATTATTAACTAAAGTTCATCCTTTTTTTTCAGATTTCCTTTGTTTTTACCTGAAGTTCTTTTGCTTTTCTAGGACCTCATCCAAGAATCCACTATATTTACGGTTTGAGCATCCCTAATATGAGAATCAGAAATCCAAAATGCTTCAAAATCTGAAATTGTTGAGCGCTAATACGACACTCAAAGGAACTGCTCATTGGAGCATTTTGGATTTCTAATTTTCAGATTAGAGATGCTCGGCCTGTATGTATTCTGCAAATTCCAAAATCTGAAAAACTCCAAAATCCCAAACACTCTGGTCCCAAGCACTTTGCATAAGAGATACTCAACCTGTAGTAGTCATGCCTCCTGAGGCTCCTCTTGTCTATGACAGTTTCTCAGACTTTCCTTGATTTTGATGATCTTGACAGTTTTGAGGAGGACTGATAGGGTATTTTGTAGAATGTCCCTCAATTGAGATTCGTCTGATATTTTTCTCATGGTTAGACTGAAGTTACATGTTTTTTGGAGGAAGACCACAGAGACAAAGTGCCATTTTCATCACATCACATCAAGGCTACATACTATCAACATGACTTGTCACTGCTGATGTTGACCTTGATCCCTTGGCTGAGGTAGTGTTTGTCAGGTTTCTCCACTGTAAAGTTAAGTTACTCTTTTCCTCTTCTCATAATGTCCTCACTATGTGTAGCTCACATTTAAGGAGTGGGGAATTATGCCCCACCTCCTGAAGACAGAGTATCTACTTAAATTACTTGGCATTCTCCTGCACAGGAGATTTTTCAATTCAGTCATTATTCAATCACTTATTTATATCAGTGTAGATTCATGGCTATTTATTTATACTCTGGGTTATAATCCAATACTGCTACATTCATTTTGTTGTTCATATGGTACCAACTTTGGCTCCAATAGCCACTTTTCAGTCCTTTTTTTATTTGACCTCTTAACAGCATCTAACAATGTAGTCCACTTTCTCCTTAGCAGTTTCAGCATCACACTCCCTTGGAATTCCTCCTATCCTTCTGGTCTCCTCTTCTCAGTTACTTCATCATAAGTTCCCTCTCAGTTTGCCCATAAAATGCTGGTGTTCTCCTTGGTCTCCGAATGATCTTATCTAAACCCATCATTCTAACTACCACCTAGAAGCTGGCAAAGATGTTTTCTGTACATTCTACTCACAAATCCAATTCCAACTGGGCACCTTAGGCACCTAAAAGATATCTCAGACTTAACACACACAAAGTGGGGTATTATCTTTCTTCTGTATACTGCCCCTCCTCCTGTTTTCCCTAATTTGATGGATGGTGTTACCATGCACATGGTCTCCTTAGATAAAACCTAAAAACTATCCTACTCCCTCCTTTACTCTCCATATCCAATCAATCAGCAGAATATCTGACAACTGGAGCCCTTGGCTATATTTCCAGGATGTTTATTACCTTATACATTAGTTCCAGTTTCTTATATATGTTGTTAACACATATTTCATCTCTCTTTTTATATATGAATTATATTGGGGAAATAATTCTATGGAAAGACTTCTACATGTTTTTAGGCAGAGGCAAGCCAATAAGTACAGCTCCTCATCTTGGGGAGAGAAAGAGACCCCTTCGACTCTACCTCTAGCAGAATATCAAAGCTATTTAAAAAAAAAAAATCATTGTCTAAAGATCTAACTTACTTCAGAATGGGAATGTTAAAATAGAAAGCAAATTCATTCAACAAAAGCCAATATACTATGGGAAAATGCTAAGCAACAGACCTCTCTCCAACTTTCTAAGTCAATACCACATTTCTCTTTAATTTCAAATATACACATATCTCATATCAGCTATTTTATTGTTCCCATGAGTTAGAGATTCTCATTTTTTATATTATATAGAAGGTAAAAGAGCACCATTTCAAACAAGATGATGTGCATACATATTTCTTCTTTGTTTGTCTGATTTGTGGACCTGAGGAATACGGATTACCTCTGTTATCTGCATGAAGAAGCTCTGCTACAAGCCTGGCATTCACTTTGCTTTTATCTCTGAGACCCCAAATTGTACTGTTAGGAAACAGAGGGCACTTATCTAGATTGAACTGTCATACAAATAGATTTTTGTCAGCTATTCAATTTGTATTGGGGAACATGCAAACAAAAACAAAACCCAGCGATTTAAAACAACAAACCTATCCTCTACTGACGGGAACAAATTGCTATTTTGCAAGTGAATAAGAATTACTAAAGATTGCACATCTTGCATGTGGGTGCTACAGAAAGAAAAATATTCTTAGAACTAATTCTGTCTAGTTTTTCTGGCAGTGATCTAACATAAAGCAAGCACATAGTATGCTTAATACTAATAAACACACAAGAAAAAACACTGACAAACAGGAATTAATGTTATCAGAGGAGAATGAGTTTGTTTAATAAAGTTCCAAGTCAAATTCAGTGGCTACATGAAGAAGGTGACATTGTATTGCATTCTGAGTTTGTTCTCTGATCTATGGTCCTTCTGGGAATACAGGTAGTGCCTCTGCCCACGAAACAGTCAATTTGAGTAGTGAGACCAACATTCTCCTTAAGCCCAAAATGATTCTGGCTCTGTGTCTTCAATAACCACTAGAACAAACAAAAACTTCAGTGAATTGACCTCACCATATCTAAGGCTATTTTGAAGAATATTCAGAATTGGCCTATTCAAAGTTGATGTTAACTCAGACATTAAAGATGTTGATAGGGGCCAGCCCGGTGGCGCACTGGATAGTGCGCCGCTTGGGAAGTGCGGCGGCGCTCCCGCCCGAGGGTTCGGATCCCACATACAGACCGGTTCCCGCTCACTGGCTGAGCGAGGCGCGGGAGCAATGCCAAGGGTTGCGGTCCCGTTGCCGGTCCCCGGTCCGGTACGGGGGCAACACTGAGGGTTGCGATCCATTGTCGGACACGGAAAAAGACAAAAGACAAAAAAAAAAAAAAAAGATGTTGATAAATCAATAAAAATATGATAAGACAATTTTTACAACTGAAAATATCAATATGCCCATCGTTATCTAAAATAGTTTCATTTCCTCCTCAATTATTTTTTTTCAAGTTGAATCCTGTTCCTTTTTCTGTAAGCCACATCTTCATTCTGGATCTTATGTAGCTACGCCTTCAGTGAAATCCAGGCTTGCGCTTATGGAATCATAAACTACTCTACGGGAAATAAGCAAATCTGCAAATTCAGCCCTATGACTCCACATCAAGCTGAAATAGAAAACAAACAAACTTAAAAGTCAAAAATTTCAATTAAACCCACATAATTTTACTAAAGTAGAAATCTAATTAGTTCAATTATTCAAATGCAAATATTTATATTTTGAAAATGAATTTTCTTCAATTAAAATTATGTAACAAGAATTCAGCACTTTGTAAAATCCTGTAATATGTCATTTGGCAAAGCTATTGCATTACATGTTGTAGCAACAGGTGCTTATGTCAAGACTTTAGGCTTTATCAAAGAACAGTAAGAAAAAGTAACATATTCCATATACAGACATGAAAAGGATATCACTAATGGTATTTAAAAACAGATAACAGGACAAAGGAAGGTGAAATATAATGCTTCAAGTTACCTCTACATTTTGTAAATGATAGAGCTACCTAAGAAAAGTTGTTCTCACTTCAAAGAAAGTTATAAAATTACATTATTTTAAAAACATAAAAACATGCATGCTGTATGCAACTTACTTTCAAATATACATACACAAGTACAGGTAAAGAGAGAAAGGTGTGTAGAGAACACATGCACAACTGATGAAACAAATGGAGGTAAATCTGGGTATGTGTATGTTCTTTGTACTATTCTTTAAACTTTTCTAAAAGTTTGAAATTATTTACAAGTATAAAGTTTTGGTTTTTTTTCTTCTTTTTTGGTGGCTGGCTGGTGCGGGGATCCAAACCCTTGACCCATGCTGTAATCAATGGAGCCTAACCAGCCAGCCCAAATATAGAGTTAAAATGATTAAACAATGGGCCGAGCCCGTGGCGCACTCGGGAGAGTGCAGCGCTGGGAGCGCAGCAGCACTCCCGCCACGGGTTTGGATCCTATATAGGGATGACCGGTTCGCAAGGAGTGCTCACTGGCTGAGCGCGGTGCAGCCGGTCTCAAAAAGGACAAAAAATAAAATAAAATAAAATAAAATAAAATAAAAAATAAAATGATTAAACAATATGAAGATTATGGAAGAAAAGGGGAGAGATTCCTGGCAAGGTAATTTTCAACAAGTAGCTAATGGAAGAGAATAGCTTAATGTCAAATAAATTCTTGATTAGATAGATAATAATGTTAAACTAAAATATAAAACCATTATCCCTCTCAAGTTCAAACAATGTTAACTGTTAATGTTTGTCACATATGATGGTGTTTTCCTTTTTTTTTTAAATAAAAATATGGGATTTAATTTAACAGTTTTAAATTAGCAACATAATTTATTCGAAGGTATACCTGTTCCCCAATGTTCATCACAGCACTCTTTACAATAGCCAAGAGTTGGAACCAGCCCA